GGGAGACCGAACAGCGAGTGCGTCGCCTTGTTGAAGGGCAGGCGGGCGGACAGATTGATTTCAGGATGTTGCTGTGAAATATGCATCTGGAGCCCTTCGCGCGAGCCAAAGTACATGCCACAGACATCACAAGGTAGGCTCACCGCATCGCCAGGAGCAACACGCACCAAGGAGCTCGAAGTAGAAGTAGCCTCGGGGGTAGAGGCCATAGCCACGCTCAGCGTCACCGCCCGATTCATTTCCCTGGCTTTGAGCGCAGCACTGCGAAGAGGATCACAAAGAATGGCCTGAACCTTGTGCCGTGTTTGGTCAATGAAGAACGATCGAGGGCACATGTCTGCACGCAAGAGCACTGCCTGGTTCGTGACACCCTCCTGGTAGACCCGAAGAACATTGCGAAGATGTCCTGCAACAACTGAGATCACTCCACGGAGGACCTCCCCGGTGACCCCGGTGGAACCAAGAGCATACCACAGCGAAGGCCAGACTGTAGCCTTGTAGAGCCGAAGGCGATGTCTCGAAGACAGCGCACCGTTGGAGCGAAGCACCTTGCGCAGCTCTTGAAATCGCGTCTGTGCACACTGCGTCCTAGTCCTGAGGGTCTGTAGCTCAAAGTTCTCGTGCGACAGCGTGGCACCAAGATACGGCATAGATGTTGCTACCGGAATGTACAGATCTTTAGGCTCAGACTGTAGGCGCAGGTATTGCACATCATTGTGCCACACAAGCGCGTGCCTGGTTGCACTAGCCACCGCAGAACCCCTAAGCCTAAGGACAACCAAGCTTTTCTGCAGGTTGAGCTCCATACCCAAACCTTCCAGGACTTGAATGACGTGCCGAACATCCCGAAGAGCGGAATGGAAGTCTGCAACTGAGTGGAACTCCCAGCACCCATGCAAGTCATCAGCGAACATTGTGTAGCAGTCCCGGTCCGAGCCTTCACGAAGGGCTGCACGAAAAAGCTCCAATGTCCTCACCGACCATGCCGCGAAGAGGATAGGAGAAACAGGACACCCTTGACGGAGTCCACGACTCATCCCATTAGATTCACTGGCACCCCCGTGCATGACAACACACTGGGTCTGGACATGGATCTGTATCAGCACCGACGCTACCTCCTGAGGAACAGCTGCATCCAAGAGAGCGCCGTACAGCTCAGCATGGGATACGCTATCGAAGGCCTTTCGAAGGTCAATGCTCAACATCATGCCCCCCACGAAAGCCACATTCCCGAAACCCAAGATCCTGGATGTGTGATCCTGCTGGTGCTGGCTGAGGAGAGACCGAACGGAACTGCAGTGATATGAAGCCCTATAAGCAAAGCGTCCGCAGTCGATGCGCCCGGCCTGTAGGCGTACTGCGGAGAGTCGAACATGTACCGCAAGACAGCGGGCTTGGCGGCCTCACGAAGGATGACCAAGAGACCCTTGGTGTCCGCTGCCATGAGACCGATGCTCCTAAGATTAGCAGGAGAGCTTGGGGTCTTGCCAGCCTTCGGCAGCCATGCGAACTGCATCTCTGTCCACTCAAGCGGGAGGTAAGGGCCCTCCGCACACAGGGCCTCCTTCGAGATACGGCTCAGCTCCAGAGCAGCTGCATCCAGGTCCTGCTTCCATGTGTCGATTGATGGTTGGCCCGCAGGGACTGCTTTTCCACTGCGTAGAGATCGAAGCGCACACTTCCAGGCATTAGGCGTAAAGAGGTCAGGGGGAAGGGGCAAAAGGCTCGGCCTACAGATGTCTTGTGCCCTCCGCGCCTTGAAGAGCTCGGCAGCGTACTGAGACAGCATGCGGCACTCCGCTCGCGGGTGCATGAGGCTACCTTGATCATCACGCAGCCTGATGGAGCGGGCGCCAGCACGAGGTGCGAGGAGGCGAACGCACTGAAAAAGCAGACGGCTGTCGCCCCTGGAAGCCGCCCCTTCTGCACGCTCCAATACATCCAGCAGC